CGTATCTAGTAGTACTATTATAGTTATCTTCTATAGGTGTGTTTTTATAAGTATCTAGAGTAGAATTATTTACTTAGGCTAGTATACTATATAAATAGGTTTGCTTTTATACTCTTATATCTAGCTATACTAGTACTTATTATAATCTAACACTACTAGCTAGGGGCATACTAACTATTAGGTTAAGATGCTAACCCCTAAAAACGCTACTATTACTATCCTAGGCACCCTAGTCTTTAAAGCTAGTAATACTACTAGTGTATTTAGTTTAGGGTAGACGTTATCTTTATATATATTTAATAGGATAGGGTAATACTAGCTTACTTATAGCCTATAATAAGTCTTAGTTTAAATATTAGGAAGTATTACTATAGAATCCTAACTAGGCTACTATATAGTTATAGCATATACCTAAACTACTATAAATAAAGTTAGATATTAGCTACTAGTATCTATATAGACCTCTATATATAATAGACCTTCCTAGGCTAGGGCCTTATAGGATAGTAAACGTTTAAGTAATTAGGGTAGCAATACTATTACCTAGTATAGTATAATTATGTATAATAGCTCCTTTATAATAGTAAGATTAGTGTATTTAAAGAGGTAGATAATATACTTGTATTTTAGTTTAGAGTGTTAGTTCTTATTCCTGTATATCTAGGTCTGCTATATAAGCTATTTTAATACCTATACTCTATTAAAATATCTAAAAAATAGATACTTAGTAAGGATAGTATCCTATATATTAGTCTACTTAGAGTTAGAAATATAGCTAAATAGTTAGTCTTAGATTATATTAAAGTATATGTCTATAGCCTTATAGATACACTTATTAAGGTTATTAATGCCCTTCTTACTAACTATAAATATATAGATCTATAGGGCAAACACTTTAGGCGTATATATTACTACCTACACTATAATTAGATTATTGCTTACTAATTTTAGCTATAGGTAGATACTATACAGTTCTAGTATTTTATATAAATAGGATCTTAAATCCTAAATTAACTATAGGATAGTGTTAGGAATAAAGGCGGTGTTTATAGTAGATAAGGTTATAAGTAAAGCTAATATATTATAAATATATTATTATAGATAGAAAGGGTATATTATTATATATAACTTGTGCACTTATTATATTATAACGCGTACTAGTATTATTACTATTACTTATAATATATTATCTTTAGCTATATCTTTATACTAATATACTTCTATAATATAGTTATTAAATAATAAGTTGTTATACTATAGTTATGCTATATTAATATAATAGAAGTATAGAGAGGGTATGCTAATATATTGTATTATATACGTGTGCAAGGGGTTAAGAATTAATTTAGAGTATACTAGATTATTATTATATAGATTTATATATATTACTATAATTATAGTATTATTACTTGTTATAACTAACGCTAATAAGTTATATTAGCTTACGTAGATTTATGCTATATCCTTTTATTTACCTACTCCTCTATATACTAGAGTATAATAGTTATATTAATAGAGTAAGATATAAATATCTAGGAATACACTCTTACTAACTTATATTAGCTACACGTAGTTTATATTTACTAAAACGTAGTTATTATATAACCTAGATTAGTATACAAGTTATGCTAGACTAGGAATTAACATAGATTAATATAATAACTATAACACTATTTAAGAGGATAATATTATAAGTTACTAAATTTAGGGGTAATAACCTGTCTACTATACTATAGTATTCTAAAAGTAGGGTAATCTATCCTTTAGATACCCTATTAACTATACGTTACACGTTAATATATTTTCCTAGGCTAGGCATAGAACTAATATATATTAGCTTAGGATAGAAAATAGGGCTATTATATATATTAGTTAACTACTATAAGATGCAGTAGTCCCTACTATAGAAAGCCTAGTTATAGAAGAAGAGGCTCTTTATCTTTAATAGTACGCTGTTAAAGTTAAGATTATCTTTATAGAAGCTTTTATTTAATTTAGTGTTAATAAACTTATAATAGATATATTACGTATAAGCGTAATATAATAGGACGTATTAAATAAGTATATTATATAATTAAAGAATTACTCCTTCCTATATAGATAAATCTAGTAGTAACTAGATAACCTATATAAGGAGAAATAGATTACCCTCCTATATAGTATCCTATAGAGAACTGCGTATCTATTATAATATAGCAAGTTTATGTCTTAGATAGTATATCTTATAGTATAAAGCCCTTTAATAGTAGATAGTAATAAGCTAACTATACTATTAATAGGCTATCTTACCTAGACTATACTAGTTAGACTAGCTTTCTTTTATATAGAATAGTAGCGATATAGTCTTATAGTAGCCTAGAAACCTTTCTTAGAATATCCTTAGTCTATAAGGCTAACTAAGGTATAAGGAGGAGAAACTAATACTAAGTAAGGATTTAAGTAGAGAGTATTAGACTATAATTTAGATAGTTAGTAGTCTTAGCTTTTAGCCTATATAGTACCTAGTCTCTCCTATTAACTAATACTAGGTAGACTATAGCTATATAGAGAGGGCGTTGTTATAGACATTCTATAAGGTAAATTAATAATTAGGAAGGTAGGAAATATAGTAGTATAGGAGAGCAGGAGACGCCTATATCTTACCTATATCTCTATTATCTTAGGTTTAGTTATAGTAGGGTTGCTAAATTAAGGACCCTAATAGGAAGATATATAGGTATAAATTTTTGTAATAAATATACTAGATATTTTATAGGTAATATATAACTTACGCCTAATAAAATATCTAGGAAGTATTAATAAGGGAAGTCCTATTAATATATATACTATCTATATTACTAATAGCATAGTTCCCTATAAGCCTAAGTATAAAACTAGAAAGATAAAGTTGCTACTAGAACTATAAGAGTTTAGGGACCTGTTTAACAAAGAGTTAGCAAGTAGTTTGCTATTCTATTAGGGTAGTATAGATTACTATGTTTAGTTAATAACTCTCCTAGATAGAACCTAGCCTAACCCCCTATAGGGTCCCCTATACCCTATATCTTGTAATTAATTGCTAGAACTAAGAATATAACTTACTAGATTAATAGATAAGGGCTAGATCTAAGCAAGCTCTTCTATAGCTAGAGCTCTAGTGTTACTAGTAAAGAAGCTATTAGGCAGTTAGCGCCTTTATATAGATTACTAGATACTTAATAGCATAATAATATTAGACTAATACCTACTACTACTTATTAAGGAAACTTTACATATACTATCTAGCGTAAATTAGTTTATAAAAGTAGATATTTATGCTACCTTTTATAAAGTTAGAATAGTAGAAGGTTATAAGTCCTTAATAGCTTTCTATACCTAGTTTAGGTTATATAAATAGTTAGTATATCTATTTAGTCTTAGTAGTGCGCTATCTACTTTCTAATAATATATTAATACTACGCTTATAGAGTTACTTAGATTATATGCAATAGCCTACCTTAATAATATCCTAATTTATTTAGGAGGAGACTAGTTTAACTATATAGAAAAAGTAAAGCGTGTACTTATACTATTAAAAGAAGTAGGACTATACCTAGACTTAGAGAAGTGTGCGTTTAGTGTTAAGGAGGTACGCTACCTAGGCTATATTATTAAGGCGGGCAAATTACTTAGACCTAACCCTAAAAAGCTTAGGGTAGTATAGGAATAGGAACCCCCTAGGAATATAAGAGAGGTAAGGAGTTTTCTAGGTTTTGCTAACTTCTACCGCAATTTTATCGCGAAGTTTTCTAAAGTAGTAGCGCCTTTAAACTAACTAACTAGGAAGGACACCCTATTCTAATAGGGAGAGGAAGAATAGAGTGCATTTAATACACTAAAAAAGGTATTTATATCTAGACTA